TATATATATATATATATATATATATATATACACATGTAATGATGTAACAATATTTTGTATTTTTGCATTTATAATTTGTTTACAATTTTTTATGAAAAATTCTCTCTCTACATATATATATATCATTTTAATTTAATTTTTATATATATTATTATTATATATAACAAAACATCTGGATGCATGGTTATTTTCTTTTGATTTGGGGTCTAAAATACATAAATACCTTTTATTCATGAGATTGACTAATCCAAAGCAATCCAAAAACAAAAACAACAATCCGAGTAATCCAAAAAGAAATCATTACAATATCAATCATATAGCAATAAAACAAAAGTAAACAAATGTTGGTAACACTTTATGTGTCCTTGTTACATGTACTTACTGTAGTAATAACAGTGGTGGATGAGGAGATACCCCCTGACAATGTAAATCGCTTTGAGTGCCTAGAAAAGCGCTATATAAATGTAATGAATTATTTTTTTTATTTTTTTTAAATTATGCATAATTACATGCAATAACCCTAATCCTAACCCTATAGTAATTACAAGTAATTGATTACTATTACTTGGTACTTAAATGTATAACTACACTGTGACAAGGACACCGTAAAATAAAGTGTAACCCAAATGTTCTTAAAATCAAACATTGTGTAATTGTAATTTATTAATATTACACCATAAAAATGGCACGGGCTCAATTGGAAAATCCCTGTCCATACAAAGTGACTGATGCATTTGTGTCAAAACACTGATTTTGATTCAACACAGCCTTTGATATCAACAGAAAGATTTGCTATATATATCGCATTAATTAATTTTCCAGTTTTGGGTTGTGACCCACCAGTTGAGAACCGCTGGACTAGAATATCCAGGGAAATACATCGCTTTTGCTTTAGGTAGAGTGGCCAATCTCAGTTTTGTCAATTTGTCAGGACATGCTCAGCATAAGCAATGGCCCAACAGCCAAAAAATGATGACCGGTAACATTCAGTCAATCTGTCAGAAGTTAATTGCCTCATGCCCTCTGGAATAAATGCAGGCAGATCGCTTCTGCGCTCATGTAAATTAACTTACAGTGATTTTTTTCCTGACTCTCTGCAGGGAACAGAAATGGTTTTGCCAAAATGATGACCAGCCACTGCACAAGACTAACCAATAATACCCAGTTCGTCCTTGAGAGTGATAAAGTCGGCCTCACATGTATTGGAGTCCTGTATAGAGAAGTCTTCAAACCAGAGATGGATCACCTGGAAGAAGAAACCAAGATAACTCATTTTGCTGTTTGCCACTTTCCACAAATAAGGTACAAATGGTGTCCCATTACTTTGTCATGGATTAAAGGCACAATTAAAACTTATAATCAGGTATTTCATACCTTGAAAATCTAATGCAAAATCAAACAGCACATATAACTTGAAAAAAAGTAAAATGAGATGTTTTTGAGTCCCTACTTGAAGTCCTATGTGTGGAAGGTGCTTTCAGAAACCAAAGCATGTAGGTCATTTAAACCTCACAGTGTCCTAATGAGCAGCTAACGGCTAATGAGCTGAGGTAAGTGTCATCCGGTAACTTATTGGCTTCTACTGTGATGTGGCAACTGCAGCTCATGCCATTGTCGTAGCTGCTGGGATAATTCCCACTGGAGAATTCCCCTGAGGAAGCCGTCAGCTCCTGCAGACTCCCACATCCCGTATCGATTTCATCCTCTGCGGACAGAGACAGAGCGAGGGATAGAATTTGACATCGCCTGTGTAAACAGATTGATTACATTTCCTCAGCAGCACCCTGCAGGTGAAGCTATTTCATGGATTCAGCCTCATGGAGCATAATGCAGTTTTAGTGTGGTAACCGAATTTGAAAGGAAAGGATAATGTGTGTGTACCAATAGCTGTATATAATGCACTGCATTCATCATTATAGATGCAAAAATACTCTTAAGTTTAATAATTATGTGAAACATAAGCATTGTAAGTTTAAAGTGAAACTTTTGCTACAAAGTTTACTTGAGGCGTAATTTCACTCATATGAAGATTTTTCATTATTGTGCACCAGAGTGAAAAAGTACTTCTGGAAGTAGAAAGTGATTACAGGAAGCTTCTAAGAGCTATTTTTGAGAGCATTTTACCATTTAACTACGTAATTTACATGTATATGCCACTTTCCAGTGCTTTCTGCAGAGAAAAATGCTGCATTGCATGCCACAGATTTAACAATAGTGTTATTCCAGTGAAGCTGATTCAACTAAACCGATAGTAATTTTGCACTGAGCAGTAAATTAAAGTTCAAGTTTCAATAACCTCAATCATTCAAAAGTTATTTTATAGTTAGTTTTATAGCTGTAGTTTATCATGAACACCGGCAGCATCTGAAGGCAAAAGAAGAGTGCAAGGAAATCATTTAATCGAAAGCATTAACAAACTCTTTTTCATGAATGTTAAGCAGCAGAGATTCATTTTAGACTAGTTGTTTGCCAAGTAAACAACTTTGTGGCATTGATCAAGTCTATTGATTTGACATTATAGGGCCTTAGAGTCATAAATAATTACACATTTTCTTTTGTTTTATTTAGTACCACTGAGATGCTTTATCTACATTTATACCTGAGTGGAAGTAAGAGCTGAATAAGTGTGCAAAACTAATTATCTTGAAATATATCTGGATTTGGAGCAACAATAACTCACCTTTTGGACTTGAGTTGTTCCTCTCAATGACAAACACCACAACTATTCCAATAGTGACAGCAGTCAGGGCTACAAATAGGAAGATCAAGCTCTTCTCTAATGTTGTCAGACCTTTCTTGGACGTCATCTGTCCTGATGTTCCTCAGGGTTCTTTGGCGAGAAACAGATAAATGAGGTCTTCAGCCGAAGCTGACTGAGCAACATTCTCCTCGCAGATGGTCTAATATTTATAACGTTGTGTTGACCTTTGTAGAGCTGTACTTTACTCTCAGATGGGTTTGCTGTATAACTCCACAAAAGCAATTTCTGCAAGTATCTCCTTAATGCATTTAATGCATGTGTGACAGGTCAGGTTGTAAATTTGGGAAACCGTACTGGCTTTATCTAGGAAGTCTTATCGGTTAAGTGAAAGCAACGATTACAGTCTCAAATAATTAACTACACAAGAAGTATCTTGCTTGTTAACCACTTGTAGACTTTGTTTAGTAATACTATTGAAGATTAAATAATTAGTTATATACTTAACCTTTAACGTATTAGTATTCTCACTCTATGCTTTATCATTTAATAAGATATTTCATCCAAAAATTTAATTTCTCTGTGTTGTTTTGTCCATTCAATTATGTGGTCCAGTGTTTTTTTGGACTCAGTTGACTGTCACTGTATGAAGTACTCTTCAAAATAGCTTCATTTGTGCGTCATTTTGGAATGACACGAAGGTGAGTAAATGATGACCAAATTTTCATTTTTGGCGACAACTATCCCTTTAAGGCTTTGCTGCATGTCTGGACACAATGCTTCTGAGTTCATACAAATACCTGGATATATTGGGTCTACAAATAAACACCCTGAGGGCCAGCAATTGACTGAACACTTTGTATTTGGGAAGAAAAAATCAACAGAGAAGAAAAAGAACAGCTTGCAGTGCCACACATACTGTCAAGGCCTGTTTGCTTAGGCATTGAACAGGACGAATGAAAGAGGGTCTTTTTAAAGAGCCCCTTTCACTGAAGCAGCCCATATATGCTCAGTCGCTCAACCAGAGGTTTGTTCTGAAGGAGCCTTTGGAAAGCAGTGTCACTATCTGGCTCGCTCTTGAAAGAGTGTCGTTGAGGTTCTTTCTGGAATTCTGGAGAGAAAATAAGTTCTGCACTGAGTGGCACTTCATTATCTCGTGAAGATAATGAGGAGCTGTGCATTGCTCTCATAAATACCAGTAATGACCTGTTATCCAAAACATTACAGTGTAACGTTCTCGTCATGGGAGAGATTTGATCTTTCTGAGCTATTTTTGATTGATAATTTTCTATTATTCTCCATGTGTCCGTTTTGCTGGTTCAGCACATCCCATAGATCAATGTTTCCCAATCCTGGTCCTGTAGAACCCTAAACACTGCAGACTTTAGATGTCTCCCTAATCAAACATACTGATTCAACTCATCAACTCATTAGTAAAGACTCTAAAACATCAAATGTGTGTGTCAGATAAGAGAGATATCAAAAACATGCAGTGTTGGGGGTTCTCCAGGACCAGGATTGGGAAACACTGCCATAGACGCTCAATCGGATTGAGATCTGGGGAATTTGGAGGCCAAGGCAACACCTTGAACTCTTCATGTTCCTCAAACCATTCCTGAACAATATTTGAAGTGTGGCAAGGTGCATTATCCTGCTGAAGGAGAACACTGCCATCAGGAAACGCCAAGGCCATAAAGAGGTGTATACGGTGGCTTAGTTGTGCACAACACAACGAAATCTCCACAACACAACGCATAGGACTAATTTTGTTGTGTTGTGCTAATTTTGCTGTTATGGCTTGTTTCTGTTGTGTTGTGCTAATTTGTTTGTGTTGTGGCATGTTTCTGTTGTGATGTGCTAATTTCATTGTGTTGCAACTTGTTTCCGTTGTGTTGTGCTAATTTTGCTGTGTTGCTGCTTGTTTCCGTTGTGTTGTGCTAATTTCGTTGTGTTGCGGCTTGTTTCTGTTGTGCTAATTTCATTGTGTTGCGGCTTGTTTCCATTGTGTTGTGCTAATTTCGCTGTGTTGCGGCTTGTTTCCATTGTGTTGTGCTAATTTCGCTGTGTTGCGGCTTGTTTCCATTGTGTTGTGCTAATTTCGCTGTGTTGCGGCTTGTTTCCGTTGTGTTGTGCTAATTTTTTTGTGTTGCGGCTTGTTTCTGTTGTGCTAATTTCATTGTGTTGCGGCTTGTTTCCATTGTGTTGTGCAAATTTCGTCGTGTTGCAACTTGTTTCCGTTGTGTTGCAACTTGTTTCCGTTGTGATGCGCTATTTTCGTTGTGTTGCAACTTGTTTCCGTTGTGATGCGCTAATTTCATTGTGTTGTGACTTTTTTCCATTGTGATGCGCTAATTTCGTTGTGTTGCAACTTGTTTTCATTGTGTTGTGTTAATTTCGTTGTGTTGTGGCTTGCTTTGGCTTGTTTCTGTTGTGTTGCGACTTTTTTCTGTTGTGCTGTGCTAATTTCGTTGTGTTGCGGCTTGTTTCCGTTGTGTTGTGCTAATTTCATTGTGTTGCAACTTGTTTCCATTGTGTTGTGTTAATTTCGTTGTGTTGTGGCTTGCTTTGGCTTGTTTCTGTTGTGTTGCGACTTTTTTCTGTTGTGCTGTGCTAATTTCGTTGTGTTGCGGCTTGTTTCCGTTGTGTTGTGCTAATTTCATTGTGTTGCAACTTGTTTCCATTGTGTTGTGTTAATTTCGTTGTGTTGTGGCTTGCTTTGGCTTGTTTCTGTTGTGTTGCGACTTTTTTCTGTTGTGCTGTGCTAATTTCGTTGTGTTGCGGCTTGTTTCCGTTGTGTTGTGCTAATTTCATTGTGTTGCAACTTGTTTCCATTGTGTTGTGTTAATTTCGTTGTGTTGTGGCTTGCTTTGGCTTGTTTCTGTTGTGTTGCGACTTTTTTCTGTTGTGCTGTGCTAATTTCGTTGTGTTGCGGCTTGTTTCCGTTGTGTTGTGCTAATTTCATTGTGTTGCAACTTGTTTCCATTGTGTTGTGTTAATTTCGTTGTGTTGTGGCTTGCTTTGGCTTGTTTCTGTTGTGTTGCGACTTTTTTCTGTTGTGCTGTGCTAATTTCGTTGTGTTGCGGCTTGTTTCCGTTGTGTTGTGCTAATTTCATTGTGTTGCAACTTGTTTCCATTGTGTTGTGTTAATTTCGTTGTGTTGTGGCTTGCTTTGGCTTGTTTCTGTTGTGTTGCGACTTTTTTCTGTTGTGCTGTGCTAATTTCGTTGTGTTGCGGCTTGTTTCCGTTGTGTTGTGCTAATTTCATTGTGTTGCAACTTGTTTCCATTGTGTTGTGTTAATTTCGTTGTGTTGTGGCTTGCTTTGGCTTGTTTCTGTTGTGTTGCGACTTTTTTCTGTTGTGCTGTGCTAATTTCGTTTTGTTGCGGCTTGTTTCCATTGTGTTGTGTTAATTTCGTTGTGTTGTGGCTTGCTTTGGCTTGTTTCTGTTGTTACGACTTGTTTCTGTTGTGATGCGCTAATTTCATTGTGTTGCAACTTGTTTTCATTGTGCTGTGTTAATTTCGTTGTGTTGTGGCTTGCTTTGGCTTGTTTCTGTTGTGTTGCGACTTTTTTCTGTTGTGCTGTGCTAATTTCGTTGTTTTGCGGCTTGTTTCCATTGTGTTGTGCTCATTTCGTTGTGTTGTGGCTTGTTTTGGCTTGTTTCTGTTGTGTTGCGACTTGTTTCTGTTGTGCTGTGCTAATTTCATTATGTTGCGGCTTGTTTCCATTGTGTTGTGGAAATTTCATTGTGTTGTGCACTACTGGATCACCGTAGGAGTACATGGTCTGCAATAATCTTTAGGTAGATGGTACGTGTCAAAGTAACATCCATATGAATTCTAAGATCCAAGGTTTTTCAGCAGAACATTGCCCAGAGCAAAACACTGCGGCTACGCAGCTCCGGCAAACTGCAATGCACTGTGTGTTCTGACACCTTTCTAGCATGAACAGCATTACATTTTTTAGCAATTTGAACTACAGTAGCTCTTCTGTGTGATCTTGGGCGCCCATAACCTTGACGCTGGTTTACCGGTTGTCCTTCCTTGCACCAATTTTGGTAGATATTACCACTGCATACAGGGAAATGGACTTGCCATTTTGGAGATGCTCTGAACCAGTCATCTAGCCATTTTTCCTGTTTACAAAAGAACTGACTGTTCACTTGCTGCGTAATATATCCCACCCTTTGACAGGTGCCATTGTAACAATATAATCAATGTTATTCAGTGGTTTTAATCTTGTGGCTGATCAGTGTATGTATTATATGTAACATTATGTCAATATCACCTGCCATAGAGACATATGTGGGGTACAATGTAGAATTACTGACACCTGATTTGGACGTCACTGTTAGCTGGGAGCCGAAGCTGTCAGTGAAGAGCGCCATATTGTCAGGATTTAATTAAGACGAGGAGGAGAGTGAAGGGCAGGCGGCGTCTCAGCATGAGATCAGGTGCGTATAGAAGATGATGGTCTGTCACCCTACAGCTATTTGCACATTTTTTATTTAACATTTAATATGAGCCGATGAGGAGACTGAATATTCTCAAAGTACCTCTCACAAATTGTGGCTAATAGGAAGTGACAGTGCTGTCATCACATAACCAGAATGCCCATGTATCTCATATAAAGACTGTAACTTCTTTATCCGGCGTTCAGTATTTCAGTAATATTTTTAATGCAGCATGTTTTTAATATTGTAGTTTAGAAATAGCAGACAGGATCATCGCATGAGATGGAGTTAATCAAGAATGCTGTAAAGATTAGTGCCATTTAACGTCAAATCTTGAACATTTGATGGATTTCCTCTCACATTGAAATCATCCATGCACTAAATTGTTATTATGCCACGTCTATTTACAGTATATACAGTAAATAAATAATACAAATTAATTATTTCAGTAATTAATTTGTATTATTTATTTATTGTATATACCGTAACCACACACACACACACACACACACACACACTTATTTCTAGTAGTCCCAGACTTTTGAATATCACAATAAGTAGGTATTTAATAGGTAAAAAAATTGTTATAAAAATTAAAATGTATTATAACTGTGGTTAATTTTTTTTAAATTATTGTTGAATTATATATTTGTATAT